TCTTAAATGTTTCATAAAATTCTCCTCTGAAACCGTCCAGTCCAGGGCTTTTGTGTGCTGGCAGTTTTTTGATTACTGCTTCCATTTCCCCAGCTGTTATCAGTCTGTTCAGACTTTCTGCTTCTTCTTCATTCAGTGTTGGAAGGTTATACTTTTCTAGAATGTTGTCCATTTCATCAAGGTTTTCAAATTTCTTGGCATATTATTGCTCATAGTAATTTCTTAACAATCCTTTGTATTTCTGTGGTATCAGTTATTTCTTCTCCTCTTTCATTTCTGATATTATTCATTTGGGCCCTTTCTCTTTTTTTCTTGATGAGTCTGCTTAAAGGCTTGTCAATTTTGTTTATCTTTTCAAAGAACCAGCTCCTGGATTGGTTGATCCTTTGAATTGTTCTTTTAGTCTCTATGTCATTCAATTCTGCTCTGATCTTGATTATTTCCTTCCTTCAACTTGCTGTGGGGTTTGTTAGTTGTTTCTGCAGTTCTTGAAGTTGTAGGGTTAGGTCATTTATTTGAAATGTTTCATTCTTTTTTAGATAGACCTGTGGTGCTATGAACTTCCCTCTCAGGACTGCCTTTGCTGTGTCCCATAGATTTTGTGTGTTCATTTTCATTTGTTTCCAGAAATTTTTTATTTCTTCTCTTACCTCATTATTGACCCATTCATTTTTTAATACTGTGCTATTCAGTCTCCATGAGTTTGAATGCTTTTGAGATTTTTTCCTTGATGTTGGTTTCCAGTTTCAAGCCCTTGTGGTCTGAGAAAATGCTTCTTATGATTTCGATTTTCCTGAATTTGTTGAGGCTTGTCTTGTGTCCTATCATGTGATCTATCTTTGAAAATGTTCCACATGCATTTGAAAAAATTGTATTTTTCTTCTTTGGGATGAAAGGTTATATATATGTCAGGTAAGTCCATTTGATCTAATGCATCATTCGGTTCCACAATATCTGTGTTGATGTTTTGATTGGAAGATCTATTTATTTTTTACAGTGGGGTATTAAAATCCCCTGCTACCAGTGTGTTGCTGTCTATATCTTTCTTGAAGTCCTCCAAGATTTTCTTGAAGTCCTCCAAGAGCAACGTGGGTGCTACTACATTGGGTGCATATAGGTTTATGATGTTTATGTCTTCTCAATGGATTCTTCCTTTAAGTATTATAAAGTGTCCCTCTGGGTCTCTTTTTATGGCCTTTGTTTTGAAATCTATTTTGTCTGATAGAAGTATTGCTACCCCTGCTTTTTTTTTTTTCCTGTCCATTTGCTTGTAATATTTTTTTTCCCATCCCTTTACTTTCAGTCTGTGTAGGTCCTTTGAAGCGGGTCTCTTATAGGCAGCATATGTGTGGGTCATGTTTTTTATCCATTCAGTTATCCTTTGTCTTTGATTGGGGCGTTTAGTCCATTTTACATTTAAAGTAATTATTGATAGGTACTTTGTACCTGTGTTCTTCTCTTTCTCACTCTTTTTATTCATCTTCTTAAACCAGTCCCTTTAGCATATATCATAGTGCTGGTTTGGTGGAGATATATTCTTTTTGCCTTCTTTTCCCTGAGAAACTCCTTCTTGTACCTTCCATTTTAATTGAGAGCCTTGCCAGGTACAGCAGTCTTGGTTGTAGGCCTTTGCTTTTCATTCCTTGGAATATTTCTTGCCATTCCCTTCTAGTTTGCAGTGTTTCTGTGAAGCGGTCTGCTGCTAGCCGTATCGGGTCCCCCTTGTATGTTACTACCTGTTTCTCCCTTGCTGCCTTTAGGATTCTTTCTTTGTTTTTGATATTTGCCATTTTAATGATGATGTGTCTTGGAGTGGGTCTCCTTGGGTTCCTCTTGAATGACACCCTCTGTGCTTCCTGGACTTGAGTGACTTTTTCTCTCCTCCAATTAGGGAAGATTTCCATCATTAGTTTTTCAAACAGGTTCTCTATTCCTTGCTCTTCTCCTTCTCCTTCTGGTGTCCCTATTTCCTTCAGGTTGTCCTGCATTTCCCTAAATGCCTCTTCATTCTTTTTGAGCCTTTTTTCCATTTCTTGCTCTTTCTTGGAGCTTTTTTCTACCTTGTCCTCCGGTCCACTGATTGGATCCTCAACTTCATCTAGCCTGCATTTGATTCCTTCTACTGTGTTCTTCAATTCAGAAATTGTATTCTTCATTTCCTCTTGTCTCTTATTGATAGTTACTATGTCCTTCTTCATGTTGATATAGTTTGCAGTAAGTTCCTCATAGTTTCCCTGTAGTTTCTCATAATTCCCTTTGAGCTCATTGAGCTCGTTGAGCTTCCTTAGAACCATTGTTTTGAATTCAATATCTGAGAATTTACTTGCCTCTATTTCATTTAGTTCTCTCTGTGGGGATTCCTCCTTTCCCCATGTTTGGCGGGTGTTTCTTTTCCTTCCCGTTATTTGTGAGACTCTTTCTCTTTTTTTTGGCTTCTACTTCTTAAATTGATCTGTCTTGATTTCCTGACTTTGTGGTGTGAACTTCTATGGTAGTAGGTGGGTCTTCTTTTAGTTTTCTTTTCTTTCCGGGTCTGCCTCTGATGATATCAGATGTTGTCCCTGTCTGACTTTAGGCGGTCTGTTTGAGACTTCCAGGAATCTACTGTCTGTGCCTGCCCCCTGCAATTGTTGATCTCCACACATATTTTTTAAATTTATTTTTAATATATAAATCACGTTTACTCTATTACAGTTGTCTCAATTTTTACCCCTTTACCCTCCTCCACCATCCCATCCCCACCCCCCACTCCCACAGCAATTCCCACTCTGTTGTCCATGTCCATGGGTCATCCATTCATGTTTTTCGTATAATCCCTTCCCCTTCTTTTCACCATTGTCCTCTTTCCCCATCCCCTCTGGTCACTTCCAGTCTGCTCCATGTTTCCGTGCCTGTGGTTTATTTTGTTCCTTAGTTTATTTTGTTGAATAGAGTCCACTTCTAGGTGAGATCATATGGTATTTGTCTTTCAACAACTGGCTTATTTCACTTAGCTTAATATTCTCCAGTTCCATCCATGTTGTTGTAAATGGTAGGAGTTCCATCTCTCTCTCTCTCTTTCTTTCTTAAATGCAGATTGATTTTATTTATTTTTTAGATGTCAAAGTTAATTATAAAATATTAAAAAAATGTAAAACCATTATAAAGTCTCAGCAATTAAACCAACATGACATCTCCACACATTTCTTTTTAAACCAAAACAAGCACTTTTATGTGTCATCAGAAAGAGAACACAGTGACAAACACACAGAACCCATAACCAATCGTAATTGTGAGAGACTGCCAGAATGGTTGGAAAATAGGAGTCCGTTAGAATAAATCTAATCAATAAAATTAATTTTTCCAATGTTAGAGGTAAGTTGTGAAATAACTCAGAACTACTTTATATCATTTCATTTAATTTTTAAAATCAAAATTAAATATAAAGTATAGATTGAGAAGTCCTACCCACCACTATCTTACCCTACTCCTTCACCTGCTTTCCTATGTTAAAAAGTTTTTTTCTTTGAACCACTTTATTAAAGTATGATTGACATCTAGAAAGCTGTATACATTTCACATATACAACTTGACGAGTTTGGGATAAGTATACACCCATGAAACCATCACCACCATCAAGGCAATAGACATATCTATCACCTCCCAAAGCTTTCTCCTGTTGTTATTATTATTGTTGTTGTTGTTATTATTAGGCAAGAAAATTTAACATAATATCTATATCTTAGCAAACTTTAAGTATACAATATAGTATTGTTAGCTGTAGGCACTATGCTATATAGTAGATCTCCAGAACTTCCCTTGCATAACTGAAATTATACCCTTTGACCATTAGTTTCTTGGGTTAGAAATAAGAATATATATTTCCTTCTTAGACAAAAGGAAACATACTATATACATTCTACCATATCTTTCTTTTTTCCCTTAATAGCCTGCCCTGGAGACCTTCCATATGAAAACAGAATGCTTTGTCTTTTTTTTTTAATAACTATGTGCTATTCAGTTCTGTGGATATACCATAGTTTACTTTGTCATCTACAGACCATCTTTTGCTATTGTAAACAGTGCCACAGTGAATACACATATATATACATCACCTTATACATGTGTGAATACAACTTTAATTTTCCAGGATTAAATTGCAGAGAAAAAAGTTTGACAGAAATTGTCAAATTGCCTTTTGTAAAGATTATACCATTATTCATTTCCATCAGTAAGTATCACCACAGCCTCATAATTATTTTAAAAACTATGTGATTTTTAAAAAGCTAACCCCACTTCAATGATGCCAGCTTATTAGAGCTCATGTGTTCTGAGCTCAAATTGTTTAATATATTAATTTGAAGTCAATATAATCAACTCTTTATTATTTATTAACACAGAAAGGAGCCATGGCATAGATAGCCACAATAGCAGAGAGTTCCATTGTAATTCAGTTCAACTTTGAAATGTATTGTAACTTTTTCTCCATTAAATTATTTTTTCTAATGATGTCTGCATTAGGAAACATTGACCCATAATTTTTAGCACAAACTGGTTATAGTGGAAGAAGAAGGCCAAGAATTAGAAAGGGGTTTTGGAGGATTAAATATTTTTCCACCTTATCCCTGGGATTATAGATGATATTAATTTGTTCTTTTTGATATTTATATATATATTTTTTAAATGTTACAATGCATTCAGATTACTTGTGTAAAAAATAGGTTTGTAGTTGCTATTAAAAGGCCCAAAACAAGTATAATAATTATTTTCAGCCTGAGAAGTATAAACCCCTAAGGGAAACTATATTATTTTAAGTAGCACTAATTAATCAATTAATATACATTTTAATGAAATTAGTTCCAATATATTTAAAATGGCTCTTTACCATGTTATCACTTAGTGGAGAAGCCACATGTAAACAATGGAGAGTTTACGAGGTTGTGTTGGCCTCCGCATAGTCCTCTGAGGGGAGGGGGTCAGCCATACAGAGATGTCTGATTCAGCCTTTCTCTCCCTTGCAGCATCTTCCTCAAAGAGCTGGAGAAGTATGAGCAGCTGCCTGAGGACGTGGGACACTGCTTTGTTACCTGGGTAACCAACCCGAAATCCTGTTTCTCCCATTGTCCCAATGCTTTCCCGAAGTGCAGATGGTACTAGATGGCATCATTTTTCAGTGCCTGACCTGAGAATTGGTGCCACTGACATTCTAACAAAGGACCAGAGACTGTAGAAAAGGCCATGAGTGGAGCTGAGAGAAGCAGTCCCTCCCTGAGGAGCAGTGCCCTCTTTGGGAAAAGTCTTAGCCATTGTGTGCAAGTGCCATGTTAAGTTTTCTAAGCAATTTCTAAGTATCAGGAAATTGGAACACAACCACCACCGTTGACAGAGAACTACTCTAGTTCCATCCACTATTTTTGTTGTTTTTGATTAGATTTTTTTGTTTGTTTTTTGACTGGATAAGGATTAAGGAATTAGAACTTTAGAAATACATCAAATCACCAAACCATCAACTACATTTTCTTCCTTAGTAGAGAACACACTCTTTGTGTTCTAACCATCCTAATTCTAACCTACAATATGACTGTCTAGTCATTCTTTTTCTAGGTGCTATTGTCATGGGCCAAGTAAATGGGCTGAATGTACCAGGTTCTAATTATGTAAGTGGAAATATTAGTCTCCATTAGAATCTACACATCACATTATTCTGATCTAAGGTTTTTGATATGAGTACAAAGGTCTCCAGAGAAGGTCACATAAAATCCTAGGTGCAACTAAAACATAGAAATTCTTCTCTAGGGTCAGGAGATCTAATATTTAATAACTATTTTCTAATTATAATGTCTGCTCAAAATGGGTGAATTACTTTTCAAAATGTCTTCATAGATTCAAGAGTTAATGCTCTCAAGAGCCTTGTGGAATAGGCAGAGCTATGGTTATGTTTTATATTTTATAGATGGAAACATTTCAGATGAGCTGGGAGATCAATTAGTCTACTGACATAATATCACAGTCAGTTCAACAATTCAACACTTGAGTTGCTTCTTCATGAAACCTTCACATTTGCTTCCTTGCATTTTCCCATTTCTTAAGGAAGCCTCAGACTGCTATCTTATCTTGTGCTAATACATTTTTTATCTCTAAATACAGAGTATGTGCACACTTCACATTAATGCTGATAAACAATGTGATTCCTTACACTTCTCTAATGTAGAGAAAAAAAGATCAACCATTAAGTGAAGGGATTTTTAAAAATCTTGTTTCATACAATTGGTGGATTTGCCTTGCAGTCAACCATAAGTATGATTTAGCAACATCTCTTAGGGATGATGAATGCCTCCCAGGTAGTATATAAACCCAGAAATTGGTTTCAGAAAAATCGTGGTGATTACATAAAATATGCACATTTTGCCAAGAATTATCCCAAGATGACTTTAAGTCTTATAATCTTAACCTATGAGTGCAGTGCAGGAATAAATGGTAGAAAGACTATGACCAAGAAGCCTGAAGTCAGGCTTTAGAATTTATTGAAAGGCTATGTATTTGTAAAGTATTGAAAGCCAATGACCAAGAAGCCTGAAGTCAGCTTCCCCGGACTCTACCATTGTTTAACAGTTTTCACATCTGTAAAATGGAGATGATGGTAATGGAACTCACTACATGGGGCTCTTGTGAGGATCCAATGAGTTATTATATGTAAAGCACCTAGAAAAGTGCTGGCATAAATGAAACCTGCCACATATATAATGCATATCTAGGCTGCTTTCTCAGAAGAAGACATCCCAAATGTTCTATAGAAACCAAGATGGGCAGTATTTTACAAATGGGAAAAGTATTTGGTGCACAAAATACACATATCTTTCCCCATGGAAAGGATGTGTAGCACCAATTCTGAGGGTCTTGAGAGAAATGAGAAATGAATTTTCACCAAGCCATAAGGTTCTTGACTTAAAGCAACAATTTGGTTAGGACTCATTGCTCAGACCTTGCCCCAAAGGGTCACCCTGCTTTCCTGTCCTCCCTTCATTTCTTCTGAGAAGTTGGGGATGATGGCATATTCACTTCACACACCCTACAAACTGCCCCCAATGAAGACATTTGGAGTATAAGCAGATCTAGCTCTGAGATCATACTTCATTTTCATTCCTTGATTTTTGCTTTCAGAGCAAATGCTGTTCACTTTTCAAGATGGGATGCACAATAGTAGGTAATCCAAACAAGAGGATAATCTCTAAATAAATTCTGTCCAACTTCAGAATACGTTATTATATGTGAATTGGTTTTGCTAATTCTTTCGAGCACAGACTAGTTTTAAAGTGAGCTTATTTTCAGGAAGCTCTCTGGTGCTGTTAGGAGAAAAGCATTCCGAAGTTTGTCTGGGAGCACGCACCAGATAAACCCAGAACATTTGCCACAGGTAATCCTGTGGCACACCGTATCTGAGGGTTCAACTGCACAGCCCTTGCTGGACCCTGTAGGCACAGTCAACAGAAGGGAGCCACTAATGAATGCTTATCTATTGTTGTCTTTGTTCTTTTTAGGCAGATAAATTTCAGATGTATGTCACCTACTGTAAAAACAAACCTGATTCCAACCAGCTGATTCTGGAGCATGCAGGCACCTTCTTTGATGTAAGCTGTGATTTTCCATTCATGAGCCATTGAAGCACTTAGAAATGATTCCCTGCTTTGGGATAATGGGTTGCTATCCTTTAGTAAGAGTAAGTAATGGGTTCCTTACTTTTGTTTACTGGCCATCCCAAACCTCTATCTCATGGATAAAGCATGGAGGAAAACCAAAGCAAGTGTTTTTGTCATCTGTTTTACCCCATCCCATCTCAAGTGCTGTGATTTTGGACGAAGCATCTTTGCCTCCATGCCTCAACCCCGCACCAAGCTAGTCATAAATCTCATGTGTATAGGAGCCTACTGTGGTGCAGATGTTAAGATGTTTCACTTCTACTTCACATACAGTGCTCTCAAATGTAGGGGTTCTCAAAGTGTGGTCCACAGACCAGCCATATCTTCTTCACCTGAGAACTTGTTAGACATGCATATTTTGTTGGGTTTTTTTTTGGTTTGTTTTCTTTTTTTAATTAATTAATTTATTTTTTTCAAATACATTTGTCTCTGCCTACCCCCCACCACTTTCCCTTGCCCTCTCCCTCCCTCCCTCAACTCTTCCCCTTTGGTTTTGTCCATGAGTCCTTGCTATATGTTCCTTGACTTTCACCTTCCCTTCCTTTTCCCCCGCCCCGCCTCCCTCCTTCCCTCTTGTCTCTGTTGGTTTCTTTTCCTTTCAGTGTTGCTGGTCTTATTTTCCTTGAGACATGCATATTTTGGATGCTACTGAATCAGAATCTCCAGGGCCAGAGCCTGAGATTGTGAGTCTTAAGGAGCCCTCTAGGTGACTCTGAGGCCTACTCAAGTTTGAGAACCACTACTCTAATGCAGTTCTTTCAACCTTGGCTACCCATTGGAATCACCTGGGGAGATTTGACAACTACTGATTCTCGGCCCCACCTCTGAGATTCTGTTTTGATTGGCCTGAGTTTGGGCTGGGCATTGAGAGTTTTAAAAGTCTCCAGGCTGAGCAGTTGCACAGTAATGGAAGCCAGGAGGAGAGTCAGAGCTGATGGGCATCGTCAGATCCTTTGTTTTTTAATGAGGATCCAATCCTGTCAGTGAATGATGGTACAAGTCTGTGTGAGTTCTGGTCCCCAGAGAGTCACCTGCAGTGAACAGAATCAAATGGGTCACTGCAGGATCCAAGAGAATAACAGAGGTAGAGAAGAAATGAGGGGGGCAGGAAGGAAGTTCAGTGAAAAGGAGACTGTAACTGATGGCCATTCTGGTAGACATGCCTGAAGTGACAAAAAGTTGAAGTTTAGAACATCTAGCAGTCTGTCTTTCTGCCTACTTGCTTTCATTCCTTCCCTAAATATTGGAATGTCTACTGTACATAAGATAGTATGCTGGGCTCTCTGGGGAATACAGACATTTATTTACAGTTCCCATACTCAAGTTTACAAAATAAACCTTCTCTGAGGCTCTTTCTAGCCTGACACTGCCATAACAGAAATAATTCCTCAAGGATCCTATTGCTCAGCGAAGGAATGACACTTGAATGGGAGAAAACCAGACAAGAAAAAGCATATGACTTGTTAATGGAGCATTAATATGGAAATGGTTATAAGATCCCAAACTGGAATTTCTGAGGTTAGATTTGGTAAAACAGAAAACCCAAGTAAAGGGCTTCCTTACCTTGCTTTCAGAGTTTATGGAATGGTTCATGCCATTATCTTTGCTTAATAATGTTTCCCTTAAGATGTTTCTGGATGACTATTCATCAGCAGTATCCAGGAGGGTCTTATTGAAGTTTTAAATGCACTGTGTTCTGTCTTCAACTTTGTATTTTTCTGAAAGTACGTGCCCTGTGCTCTGAGCATGCCTTAGACCAGCGGTCCCCAACCTTTTTGGCACCAGGGACTGGTTTCACAGAAACCAGTTTTATCCACAGATTGGGGATGGGGAGTGGGAATGGATATATTTATATTTATATTTATATTTATATTCACAGACATGTGCAACTAACCCCACAGTCAGTGTTAGAATATGTTTATCACCTCATAAGGCAATCCTGTCCCCTTTAGCTATCACCCCCCACAACGTTATTCTCCCACCCACTCCCCCAGCCTTAAGCAACCAATGATCTGTTTTCTTGCTCTGTAAATTGGCTTATTCTGGACATTTCGTAAAAGTGAAATCATGTAATATGTGTTCTGTTGTGACTGATTTTTCACATAGCATGATTTCACGGTTCATCTGTATTGTAGCATGTTTCAGTACTTCATTCCTTCCTATGGCCAAATAGCATTTTATTGTACAGATATATCACATTCTGTTTTTCTGTTCATCAGTTGATGGACATTTGGGTTGTGTCCACCTTTTCCATATTATTATTAATAATACTGCTATAAACATTGTATACAAGTTTTTGTATGGACATATGTTTTCATTTTTCTTGGGTACATAGGGTGGGGCAAAAGTAGTAGGTTTACAGTTGTTCACATTGAAAAATAATACAACAATAAATAAATAACAATAGAAGGATAAACTCTGTTTCAAGTACTCACAACTGTAAACCTACTTTTGCCCCACTCTGTATTCCTAGGAATTGCTGGATCATATGGTAACTCTATGTTTACATTTACACTTTTGCAACAACCTCATAATCAGCCTTCGTCTCTATTTTCCAACCCACTATGTTGCTATCAGACTTAAGTCACTCTTCCTGAAACATTGCTTTCATCGTGTTTTCCTTTCACTAAATATCTACAATACTTTACATTAAGAAGTTCACCAACAAATCCTAATTCTTTATTCTAGCTCAACCTTACCAATAACCTAAAAATACCTTGCTTATCCAACTGTATTTTCACTTTTTTTAGAATCTAGATGTATATCCTCTGTATCTTTCAGACATGGTCCTCATTATCATCTAAATATATAATGATTATTTCCTGTGTATTTTGCTTTATGTATTTTCCCTTTATAGGGAACCATTCTTCCAACTTTCCACCTCACCGCCCCACCCAATCCTCTAATCCCCAGCTGAAGGCTTTATCTCTGTAAAACCACTCAGGGGCCCAGTGACTCTTCTTTAGTCTCCCTGGCTATAACCAATAAGAATACTTTTTGTTATCATTTGTTGCTTTTTATTTCCTGTGTGAGTATTATCAGCAAGCTAGAATGTAATGTTCTTGAGGGAAGGGACTAAAAATTCGCTCTCCCCTGACTGTCATTACACCTAGACCTTGGGGAATGGAAGGTCACTTTGGAAGTAGGATAGAGAGTGGTCTAAAATGAGAGGCTAGAGGCACGAACAGCAGTTGGAGGCTATGGTCATAGCCTGGGCATGAATGGTATGGGCGGTGGTGGTGCAAGTGGCCAGACAAGACTTGCCTTCCCCAGTTGTCAGGGATAACAGAAGGAAAACAACTGAAAATGACTGCATGGTCATTTTCAACAGACCTGCAGAATGAAAGAGGTACCATTGATCACAATGAAAAAGTTGTAAGGAGGAAGTGGTGATTCTGAGTTGGGATGCATTAAATTTAAAGAGAGGAGGAATGGGAAATGAGATGTATCCTTGTGCAGTTTTAAGGAGAAGGCAGGTGGCTAATACACAGGAGCCATCAGTAGAAATCAGAGCCTCACTCTCTGCCTTCTCTTTATTCTCACCTTCCCTTTTATCCCCCTTTCATTTCTTCCATTCTGGGTTTATTTCCTTTCACTTCTACTTCTTTGCCTCTCCTGCACCCTCCTGTCCATTATTTACCTTATCACTTTCTTTTTCTACCTTTGTCTTTCTCTATTTCTTCTTACATTCCATTTCTGTTTCACAAAGCTGCTTTGTTTCCCTAAAGCTCCTCCCTTTCATGATCTTTCCTTTTTCTTTCTATTGATTGTTTATGTATGCACGTTTGTCTTTCATAAGTCTCTTTCTACTTCCCTCTCCCCATCCAAGAACAGTCTCTCATAAGCATCTACCCTCTTTTATCTTTTCTCCTCTTCTTACCCCACCTGCCGCCTCCCAGAACACATGCACATGCGTGCTCCTCTGTGTCTAATGGTGCTCGTTTTCACCCTGTAGGAGATACAGCAGCGGCATAGTCTGGCCAACTCCATCTCCTCCTACCTAATTAAGCCTGTCCAGAGGATCACCAAGTACCAGCTGCTCCTGAAGGTACCTCCCCTTCCCTCTGTGTCACCCCCTGCCACGCGTGAGTGCCCAGGCCCAGAGAATCCCAGCTTTGTCTGAGGATGGAAAACCTTCCACCTAAAGACATTTCCTCTACCTAGAGCATTACTTCAGAGATGAGCCCATTCCTGCATTGCTGGCTCCAGACTGCATGTCCTATCCCCTGAAATTCTAGGTGCTTATTCATTGGGAGCGGGAACAGGTTGTGACTATTTTCACACCCACCCACCTCTGTACAACTTTTAGCAATTGCTACCCCAGGCACTAGCTGGTGCGTAGAGCCTCTCCTGTCCTTCCCTCCTAGGGAAGATTCCCCCTGGTGGCCCCTGCTTCTGATAGGATCAAAGAGCAAGGTCTCAGGGGCAGTGCTAGTCTGCATGGGCACTGAAGGCCAGGGCAGTACTTGCCATTGTCTTAATCTCTATGTTTGTCAAGCCTATGAGGTTTTTGAGAGGGAATAGTCCAAGATTGCATATTAAAACACAATGACACTTAAGTCTGTAGGATCTCATATATTAGAGGTCCTTCTGGAACCAACCAAGAGATTTGGATTTTTCTAGAATCTTTTCTTTAAAAGTTAAATAATGAAATTATGTAAAATAATTTTTTAGAGTAATCTAGGCTGATTCTTCTCAGAGGAGAATATACAGACAGTCTGAAAATAGGACATTTCCCCACAGAAAGCCCAGGAAATTGATATTATAGGCAATTATATAACCCCTGTCTATCTTAATTCTTAAGGTGTAAAAGTGGAGTTTTCCCTAAGTTTGAATATTTTGCTGGGTGCCCTTCACATGCAAAGGATAGCAAGAGGCATGTTATATGTAGTATAGCGCCAAAGAAAATCTTATCAAATTCAGCTCATGTTTAGAGAGGCTTGCAGAATCTCACATATTTTAGCTTCACTAAACCTGAAAACCAGTCTAGTTTCATATCTAGGTTTCCAGTCATGTTAGGGAGTGTGCCCATGGCTAGGTCCATGGGGTCTCTGGCTTAGCACTTGTGGTTCAGTGATTAGCAAGAGGGGGCAGCAGTGAGCCTGTGCCCTGAGCCTCTTACACATCTGAGTCAGACCAGGGCCCTGCACCATCCTTTCCCTTCAGCCTCCTTCTTCAAACCTCCTTCCTGTCTCCAAGAAGAGACTATGGGCTCTTGCTCCCAGGCACTCAAATCATCCAACTCTGCAGAAATGACTTAGAGAATTACAATGCAGCATCATGCCCATAACCTTTACTGAGGACTAGTGTGAGAAATAACGTGCTGGACATCTTGGCTGTTTTGGCAGAAGCACTTTTGAAAATGTCCTCTCTGTTACGGAGTTTCTTATATAAAGACTGAGAATTTCTCACAAGATCTTTGTGTGGGGCATTGGGGGTGGACGGGAACATCCCTCCTGAAAAATCGGTGTGCTTTCTACCTTTAAATCACAAGAGCTTTAGGTCTTTCCTTACCTTTGACTATCAGATAGTTAGCATTGAGTTCAACTACTTACAGTAGTTTCTCCTTAGCCCAGATCTGTGTCTAATTATCCTCCCCTTTCCTTATCCCACATAATGCTTGACCCTTCCAAATGATTTTTCTAATGCCAAACAATTTTTTAATTTATTTTTGTGTTTTTTTAAAATTTAAGTTACCTGAAGCCTTTTCAGGAACTAGGGGGCAGGTAGGTACCAGCTCACCCATCTACACTGACAGTGTATTAAATTAATTAAAATGCAGTTATAAGAGAAAGACAGCTTTTCACCTCTCCCTTTTAAGCTCATATGGCTGAGGTTCCTCGGATTAATTCTGTGACACACACACAAGGGAGGAAAGTGGAGAATGGATAGGCTGTCCTCAGTTTTGCTTTAGGCAGATGGAGGAATGGGCTCTAGCATTGAATGTTTTAGGAAGATATAACTGTGGAGAACTGAGAAAGGAAAAAATAAAGTAGTGGGAACTTGATTGCAGAGAAAAAGTAGAGTTATTGGAAAAAACACTTTAGGTCATTTTGGCCTCCTTTAAATGAGCTGATAGCAGAGTGCCTGCTGAGTAACAGAAAAATAGTTTGCTGAGCTTTAACTATAAATAAATAATATGGGATTTATTTTCTCATTAAAGTCAGTTTTATTCCAAATAAATTGATATTTAATTATGAGTATTCTCTGGGGTTCCTCACTGTAGGTGTTAAATGAAAGTAAAAACTATATATCAGCTAGAATGTTCAATATTCTCCATGTAAATCTGCTACAGCTGTCTTTTTGCAGTGTAAACTAAACGTGGAGCCTTCTCTTTATCATAAACTATTGCCAGAATCTGGGTAGAACTTACTGGCTTTGCTGACTGATTAGCAGACTTGCCAAATTGCTTTGGGGGTTAAACTAATTGGTGTATTCTGTTGTAAACTGAAGCATATTTCTTATTTCTCTCTTATGTTTCTGCCTAAAGTTCTTTTGATGATATATGAAAACAAGGGTTGAGAGGGTTAAAATTAGGAAAGCAGTGAGGAGAATCAGAGAAGTTCAGGTTGGCAGAAGGAAATGCAACTTTCTCAACAATGATACCATTATACCAACTGATACCAAGGACAAAGCTGAGAGCTGATCACTTTTACCTCACAAACATGTGCTCTGGGCAGTTCACTTCTTCTATGGACATTCATAGCTCCCTTCTTCATATGGAATGTATCCAAGATAATACAAAGGATTATATTTTCATACAAGATGCTCACTAATCAGATACCTTACCAAGTATAAAGCTTGGGTAATATAATCATGTATGGCCTAATGATATTTTGACCAGCTATAGACTGCAATATGACAGTGATCCCATAAGATTACAATGGAGCTGAACAAATTCCTATTGCCTAGTGATGTTGTAACCACCATAATGTTGCAGCATAACGTATTACTCACATGTTGTAGTGATGCTGGTATAAACAAACCTACTGTGCTACGAGTCATATAAAAAGTATAGCACACACAACTGAGAGCAGTACATAATACTTGATAATGATAACAATGAGTATTACTGGTTTATATATTTACTATACTTTTATTGTTTTAGAGTATACTCTTTCTATTTATAAAAAAATGTTTGCTATAAAACAGCATGCCATGTTACACTGGCAGCATCCTCATATACTTCGTGTTACCTCCTCTCTTGATTGCAGCATTTTTCCCTTGTGCTTGATTTAATCTCATGTTGTTTTATATAGTAACATGCTATGCAGGCTTGTAGCCCAGGAACAGTAGATTATACCAGATAGCCTGATATATAATAGGCTATTCCATCTAGGTTTCTGTAAGTATATTCTATGATGTTTGCACAATGACAAAAATCACCTAATAACACATTTCTCAGGGCGTATCCCCATTGTTAAATGGCGCACTGCTGTAATTTCCAGGATGCAAATAACCTTAAGGCAAAGGTAAAACATAAGTCCAGGACTGCCAACAGCCTCAAGTCCTTTCTTGAGGCATCAAGATGTGCTGTGGGCCCAATTAACATGCAAGATTTCTCATTGATATCTGTTGCATCATATCACCTACCTAAACAGAGCCATTGTGGTCATGAAGTCACTTTTTTCTTAAATGGTTCCATAGCTTATGTGACACTTTCCAAGGAGGCATGCCCAAAAAGTCCCAGATTTTAGGTATGTTTACCATAAGAAGTCCTGGATAGATAGGCTAGCTAGATATATTCCACCAAAATCATTCCATAGCAAGGTTCATTAGTTTAGTTGCTAGAAGGTCTGTCATTGACTTGTTTACAAGCCTTGAACTTCTTTTTTCCTCGAAGTGCCCCCTCACCCGTCCACCATTCCCTGCCTTCCCTCCCCACTAACCCAACTCCCCAATGAGACATTATGGATTGCAGATCTGTTGCTTAACTGTTTCCTTCTCGGTGTCAAAGTGAGTAAGATACGATAACCCTAATTAGAAAAATAAAAGCCAGCATTTTTCTGATATGGCCAAAGTCATTCTGAATGGTCTTTATGATTCCTAAGATAGTTGGAAATTATCTTTTCTCCATCAACCAGATACTGTATGTCTTTTATGGTGGTGGTAATGACCTAGTTTGCAATGAGGAAGTAAAAGAGAGGGCATGACCCAGAAGTCTCAGTATGGTAGAGGACATGGGGGAGACAGGCTTGGTGTGGTGGGTGGATTACTGGATTTGCATTTAAGAGACCTGGATTCAAGCCCCTGCATTACTTCCAATAAATTCCATAACCCAGGAAAAATCTTTATCCCTCTTAATAATAGTTTTCCTCATTTGACAATGAAAGAACTAGTCCAGGATCCTATCTGTTGGCCCCAGGTTAGGAATTCCTGATCCATATGATCTAAACATCTTTCATAAGTCTGAAATGCTATAAACCTATAAAGTCTGTAACCCCAGATTGTTCCCAGTATGGTGGAAGCCGGCATTTAGGCAGTGGAGGTGTGTAAATACAAGTTGTGCTAGCAGTAGGTGTAAAATGATAAATGAATGCTGAGCATTGCTTGCACACCTTTGTCTTCTCTTTGTGATTCTACAGCATTGTACCTCTGTCCATGTATTTTACGAGGGGTAGGTATCCCCCTCTCCAGGAGGGCAGTCAAATGACAGAGAACACCCTAGTTGCTGGCTTATAGTGTCAGCCATTTGGGAGTTGGGTTGAATTGAGTTAGTTTGGATGAGCTGAGCTGAGAAAGCTAAGTTGGGGGAAAAATTGCAGTTGACTTCTTTTGAGATAATCCCATCCCACCCCACCCCACTTTCCTTGTAGTTTAGAGGGAACCATTATAGAGAATGAAGCTGGTGTGTAATTGCCCGATGGGTTAGGTGGTGGGAGGGTAGGGAAGCTGGGGGAAATGGCTCTAATTGTGTCTGGACTTTTTTCCCAGGAACTTTTAACATGCTGTGAAGAAGGGAAGGGGGAGCTCAAGGATGGCCTGGAGGTGATGCTCAGTGTCCCAAAGAAAGCCAATGATGCCATGCATGTCAGCATGCTGGAAGGTAGCTGTCCTCTCAGCCTCGCTGGGGGAGCCTCCTCCTTTCTTAAGACCAGAGAGCTTGTATCATGGAGGGAAGTAGCATGAAGTCAGGCAAGGGGCAAGGCTGGAAGAGAGGAGACATGGCAAGTTGTTACATTGGTCTTTGGGCGATGTGAAAGGAGGTGCATAAGGTCTGGCTCAGCTAACACCACCTCCAGGTATGACCTGGCTTAACCCATTTCAGTATGTGGACATCTTGCTGCCTGTGAGGTGGTCTAGGAAAGGCCATCATCTTTACTACAAGTATACTGCAACCCTGACCCGCAGCAGTCCTGTTCATCTGCAAAGCACTTGCATTGCATTTGTCAGCAGAATAAGTCGAAATCCTGCGCGTGAGAGCGCGCACACACACACACACACACACACACACACACACACCATCTTCAGCCTTAGTCCCTTCTTTTCTATTGTAATAAAATAAAAATACCCTGCAGTTTACCATTATAACCATTTTTAAGTATACAGTTCAGTGGCATTAAGTATATTCACATTGGTGTACAGTTGTCCTTATGCCATTCCTAGCAGGTAAGATAAGTCCAACCAGGTAAACCTGATAGGACTTCACCAAAGTACATTCAGTTCACTGGAATCATGTCTTGTCTTGGGACCCAGAAACCTGGTACAGTGAGACTCCAATCAAGTGTTTTTAACACTGCAAAAAGAAATGAGCAGAGCAAACATATTGGGGTGGAAGTTCTTAATGAGTTTACTTATCCCAGTCAGGGCTTGCAAACGGGTGTTGTGGGAGATAAGTGTACTTTGTTGTAAATATGTAAATCTGTGAGCTGTTATTTCTCATATGATAGCTGGTGCTCTTTCTCCCCCACCACTCCACCCCCCATCTAAAAAACTTTAATCTGGTCTCAATACTTCTAGGTCACCTTTAGCAAGAAAGCCCTAATTCTACATGCAAAGGAGCCCTGCTTACCTTCTCCAGGCTAAGCACTAACCATTTGAATATTTTCCTTTGTCACAATTTCCCCACCCCTTTCTGTTCTGTTTGCACCTACACCCATCCCTGGGTGTACCCTTCTCCTCTGGCCTTACCCTGACCTTATTCAGGATCTGGCTACTCTAGGTATGGTCTGTGGACCAGCAGCAGAAATACTTATGAGCTTATCAGAAGTGCAAATTCATGGGCTGCACCCCACATCTACTGAATCCCACTCTCTTGGGAGGTGAGTGGTGGTCAGCAATCTGTGATCTCACAAGCCCTCTGGGTGATTCATATGCACAGTAAAGTTTCAGAACCTCTGCTAAAGATTTAAAGGGGTATAAATATAAACTCTTAAAGGTTTATGCATCACACAATATAAGAACAATCAAAGGCAATAGTCCTAGGAATGGAATATGAGAAATAGAGCCACAACAAATAAAGTGGAGTCAAGGGCATTCAATCCATTAGTGTTTGTCCTCAGACCCATGCTGAGCTTGGAGTCAGGGGTGCTAGGGAACTGTGGGGTTCGCCCTTGAAGAAGGTCCCAGGCTGACAGTGGAGCTGTGGGGAGGTTGCCTAGCACCTTTGCAGGAGATTCTAATAGTACTGGTTATGGGTGGGAGAGCTGGTGCCGGTAGATGGATCTGATTGTAGCTCTGAAAAGCTGTTTGCTCAAGTGCTCGGGAGTCTCAGGAGCCAGCTGAGAGAGAACACACTGTGGGAGCCGAGGGCCCACAGTTAGGGAAGCCTTTCTCCAAGAGGGGAGTGGAACATGGCCCCCTGAATGTGGCCCTAGAGAAACTCCACAGGGTGGAAATGGGTGTTTTTCAGGGTTCGACGAGAACCTGGATGTGCAGGGGGAGCTGATTCTCCAGGATGCCTTTCAAGTATGGGACCCGAAGTCGCTGATCCGAAAGGGGCGGGAGCGGCACTTATTCCTCTTTGAGATCTCCTTGGTTTTTAGCAAGGAGATCAAAGATTCTTCAGGACACACGAAATATGTTTACAAGAACAAGCTACTGGTAGGTGGGATAGGTGGGGTAAGACAAGACTCCCTATTTTCATAGAGCCCTTGGGCAGAAAGGGACCTTGAACACTCAGCTCATCTCTCCCCCTTCACCCCACCAAAGCCATCTTGGAGAAATGAAAATGCCTTCTATTTGGAAAGCTCCCCACTCAACTCCCACTTCTGCATTTTAGAGTTCACAGTTTTTCTTCCTCTTTGCTTTTAGCACCACCTTCTTCACCTTCCCTCCCTGCTATCTGCTAATCAGGCACCAGCCTATAGGTCCTTTCATCCTGGGTAGATGAACAAACTATCCAGTCTATTTGTTTGATTGACAGAAGCCCCTTCCTCGGTCCTCTCCTCTTTGTTGCCTTTCCCTTCCCACCCCAGCCCTAAGTTTCCCCACTGCCCTCCCCTTCCCCGCCTCTCACAGGCATTTCCTGTCTACAGACCTCAGAGCTGGGTGTGACCGAGCACGTAGAGGGGGATCCCTGCAAATTTGCCTTGTGGTCTGGGCGCACCCCATCCTCAGACAATAAAACCGTGCTGAAAGTAAGTACTGCTGTCTGCTGGGCACAAGACCAGGGTTGGGGGTAGAGGGATGTGGTCACCTTACACCTAAAAGCTGGGGCCAGGAGACTCCACAGAGCCACTGAACCTGTTTTGGGAAGGGCAGCATCACATGGGCATTGAGAAGCAAATTCTGTCATGAAAGTAGACTCAACATCTCAAAGAGAAGTGGTCTTCTAAGTCCATGCACTTGTGTGAGCATAGAGTGAAGAAGGCAGGACATGGCCTACTGGGCTTCCTCAACAAGGCCTACTCAAAGATGTTCTGTCCCTATGTCCCCTTCAAGTGCCAAGGACAACAGTTGACCCTTTGACAAAAAGTACCTTGATTTGCTCCATATTAATTCAACATTTTTTCCTGAACACTTTGTACATATAAGGTATTCTGTTCAGTGCTATGGAGGACAGTTTTGTGTAAGTTATGGACCCCACCTTCTGAGAACTTAAATTCTAGAAGCTCTGGTAAGTTATACTAGCATGGGAACTATGCTGACTGAGAGGGATGTAAAGAAAGGGCCTTTCACCAGGTGATGGCCTTAAGAAGTCCTTTCAGCTCTGCAGGGCACATGCAGCCTGGGAACTGAGTCTGTGCTTGCTGTAATGTTAGTCTCACTGAGAAGGGATCCTGCCGATGCAGCACCTGCCAGTTATTTGCTTATCAGGGAAGTGCCCATCGCTGAATTGCCAGCATAGCTGTTACCTGTCGTGAGACAGAATTACCTGAAAAAAGTTCCACAAAGACAAATGATATTTATGGAATGGGAGTGATGCCTCCAATAAGGGGGTTTATCAAGCCAAACCTGGTCAGCACAGCCTATGCAGCCATACTGGGTGGTGAACATCCTGAGCTTTATCCATGCCAGTTGGTTATTAGCTGCTGCCTTCAAATGCCCCTTTGCTTTGCTGCCCCTCCCAGTGCTCCCCAGTCGACCCCAGAATCTAGTAACTGAAGCATTTATCCCTGACCTCAGGGGGACCTCCAGATACTGCTCCAACCCCAGGGCAGAGATCAGTATTGGTCAATACCTTACAGGTTATTAAATACTTTTAAATCACCCCTGTACAAGTCTACATTGCATTTGAGGTCATAGCCCTGCTCTAGGAGTTAGAGAAGTGTGTCCTTGCAATTGGAGAGTCCTAAGCACATAGACTAAGAAATGAGCTCCTCAGATATGTGATATCTTAAAAATAATGGGCGAAGCCTGTGAGAGGAGGGTTGAGAACTGTTTTGGCAGGATGAAGGGAGATGGGGTCCTGACTCTTCCTCCCTATGGCACTCCAGGCCTCCAACATAGAAACCAAGCAGGAGTGGATCAAGAATATACGTGAGGTGATTCAAGAAAGGATCATTCACCTGAAAGGAGCTTTAAAGGAGCCAATTCAGCTCCCCAAAACACCAGCCAAACAGAGGAACAATAGTAAGAGGTAACCAGCGTCTCCTCCCAGTACTGCCTCACATGCTTCTGGGAACGGGAGAGGGGTGAACCTTTGCTTCCACAGGGGCGGTGTGCTCTGCAGGCGGTACCCCTCTCCATGAAGCCCTACTGAGTGCTGCTAAGATGAATTATCTCCTCTTTAAGTATCTTACCAGTTACTGTCAATTCAATCCAACAGGGCTTTATTGAGCACCTCTTATTTGACACACACTCTACAAGGTGCTACAAGAAGATACAAAGGAAGTGTAAGATGAGTCCATTCCCTCAAGAACCACCTAAGAGTCATGTTTCACATATAAAATAGAGAGACAAAGAAACCAGTACCCGTAGAGCAGTGGGGAAGTCTTTAAGAAGGAGGAGGGCAATGGGTGGGGAGCTCTCTGGGCTTGTCCTGTCACCCATGGGGGCTGGTCTGATGGGGGCGGGGGGCGGTTTATGATTGCAGCGCTTACTGTCACAGCCCCAGAGTCCTCCGAGAAAAGCAATGTGATCGGGCAGCAGAGGGCTTATATTTTGTATCTTCATTTATCTGGGCCATTCTGAATCCCAGTTTCCCTTAGGCCAATGGATGACTTCTTAATCTTAAATATCTCTTTCTCAAATCTCCATGTGACAGTCACATACAATGACTCTTGGAGGGCCCTTCAAAAGAAGGCATACAAAAATTTCATGTCAATTTTGAAAAAAAAACAAAGCAAAAACCAGAGATCTGGTGGTGATGGTTATTTGTGGTAACAGGCTCCCCTCTCCTCTCCTATTCATGAATGGAATAAACCCAGAAGATTTATTGGACCTTGTGGCCCTCCAACCTGAATGTCCTGGTTGAAGCACCACTGCAGGGCCTGGGGAGTAGTGGCACTGGTCCAGAGGGAGATGGTAGCCAAAAGGAGGGTGTGACTAAGCTAGAGAGAGATACCTCCACAGGACAAAAACTCCAAGACCTGCATGGCCAGGATATGGTCACCTCTCTGTGCTGAAAGGACAAATTATGGCTGTATTGGGGAAAGGGTTATTTTGATTTCAGTTACCTATGTCCAGAGTCCAGGTAAGAGTTAGACTTAAACACTAGAGACAGACCCGATTGCAGGAAAGCCCTACTTTAATAAGAAGATAGAATGGAAATGGTCATAAAAAGCTGAATGTCCAGGATGATGGTGGGAATGGATATTTAGGTAAGGTTAGCTAGGGTTACTTTGAAAAAGAGCCCCTTTCTCCTAGAATAGGAGAGTTTGAGCATCTCTAGAACATGGAGTGAGCATATTTTGGAAATGCCTCCCACGTCATTGTTCCGTGATGAGACAATGAGAAACCTCAGCACACTCTGCAGAGAATCACCAGGCAATCTGTAATTTCATTTGCTTGGCCTCCTGCATATTGGGACAGAGTTTATGGAGGATTGAATTGGCTTGGGGAATACTACCCACGCCGCTGGATGGGCTCCCTACCTCCCCCAGACGGGTTTTATCTGGAGGGCCCAGAAGGTCCTGCAATGGGCCAGAATCGTGGGAAGCAGAAAGTACAGCCAATTATCTGCAAGAGGGGGAACAGAGACCCAGATACCTACAACAACAGATGATCTGAAAGTTCTTTATTTTTGGTTTTGAAATGCATCACATGATTTTTTACAGCAGGTTTTCCTTCCTACAAATGTATGGCTTATGTTATTAAAATAAGTTGGCATTTTCCAAGCCCTCAATGCAGGGTAAAAGAGCAGTAGACTTAGAAATATTCTGGGTGGAAGAAAACACTTTTTTGACTAGTAGACACTTCATATATACACATGTGCATCACATGTGTGCCCACATGCACACACATGTCCACATACACTCACAATTGTCATTGTTCAGACTCTGTGACACAGCTTCAGTATATGGGTGTTTTGCCCATGTGGTAACATTTTCAGACAGCGAGTTCTCCTTCCCCTTAATGCCCTAACTTCTCTGTAAGCATCATCAGGGGTGTGACTCTCGTAAAAGCCTCATGGAAAGAGCTGTCCTTCCCTCTGCTAATTTATCCAACCTCTGGCCCACATCTCCTCCAGTTTTTTCCTGACACAAACCATTTAGCCTTCACCAGTTCCCAGGCACTTAAACCCCCTTGACCCTGGCTGTGAGTTCAGTGCAGGATTGGGACACATTTCTAAAGTTGGAGAGATAAAACAGCATGTGGGACATGTGGGACTATATGGTCCAGGGGCTAGGAAGGGGTCCAAAGGTCAGGGTGCACTTGGGAGACTGTCTTATCAGACACCAAGGAGCACAGCTACGGTGGGATCTGTCACTGTTCTCCTATCTTTGAGAAGATGCCTTAGCCTTCTGTGTTCAAGAGAAGTCATCACAAATAAGCACAAAGTCAATGACACCCTTCAAAATGAAGGCAGTGAACAACTCCTCCATGCTCAGGAGTTGAGGGTCCAATATCAGGAACTTCGCAAAAATAGTCTTCCCTGGAGAAAATATCCCACTCCAGCTTCTGCAGCAGACAAAACCCGGGTCAAAAAAAAATTGGTTCTGTTTTCTTTATAGGCCAGCTATAAATCAAACCATGTCCTGTTACAGGATGCAGAAAAACTGACCCAGTCAGATGGTTAGAAACATAGGTCTAAGTGGGATAGACCTCTTCCTACTGCCTATTATGGTCCCATTCCCAGTAAAAAAAATGCACCTTCTGCACCATGGGCCAGAGGAGTATGGAGAAAGATTCATTTTGTGTTCCATTATCAACAGCGTGATTATGTGTTTAGTAAGTACAAGAGGTTACATCATTGAAAAGCACACAGGGCAGCTCCGTTAGTGGGATAATTTTAGACAAATCCCTGCTAGAAATTTCTGAGGCTCTGCTCTGCCAGCCCAGCTGGAAATCCTGTGTGCTCTAAACCCACAGTGGTTCCCCCTACCCCCACCCCTGTTCTTCTTTTCTCTTCATCCTGCAGGGACGGAGTGGAGGATGTTGACAGCCAGGGGGATGGGAGCAGCCAGCCAGATACCATCTCCATCGCCTCTAGGACCTCTCAGAACACAGTGGACAGTGACAAGGTAGGACCATGCCCCAACCTTCCTTCCTGTAAGACTTCTTGTTGGCTTAGCCACCCCTGAAGGGTAACCCCAAAGAAATCTCTCCGATTATGGAGCCTGACCTCAGGAGCCGGATGTCTCTTTGTAGGGCTGAAGGAGGTATGTCACATGTGGAGATCTTGTCTGAGGGGACAGAGATTGGGGTGGTCAGCCAGATCTCTCAGGTTGTGAGAGTTCAACAGAAGGGGCGAGGGTAAAAAGTGAGTCTCTAAACCTCCTCCACTGCTGAGATGCCCCACCTTTGCTGCTTGGGCTGCTCTGCCTTCTGAGAGGCTGGAACTCAGGGAGCTGAGGCTGGGATAGTTTCCTGAGACCTTAGTGGCTGTGACTGGCTCATATTTAGATTGATTTGAATGGACTCATCTGAAAGTTAGACAGACCAAAACCAATAATTTGGGAAATGGCCACAGAGATGCGGGGCGGTGGGAGCCTCCTATCCAAAGGGGGTCCCATGGGAATGATGCCACCTTCCCCGGGCCACATGCTGGGGCTCAGTTCCTGAGAGGCAGAGGACCAGGAGGTGGTGTGTGAAGCAGGACGTAGGGATGTAGTAGTCTTGTGAGAAAGCCTGGTCACTTACTCTCTTACATTTTGGAGGAAATAAACAAAAGTAGGTAGCTCTCATGGGAAGTGGACGAAAGGAGACTGTAGCCAAGACTCAGTGCATTTGCTCAAGCAAGGGCAAGAATTCAGCTGTCTGAATCTGCAGCAGGGACACGCAAGGTTTTTCTCCGACCCTACTCTCCTTTGCCTCCTTCAGGGTCGGAGGAGTATGAGATGAACTTTTGCTGCATATTAGTGATTCTATTAAGGAAGGTATGGATTTGCAAAGACTGGCTGGCCCTAGTTTGTCTAGACCTAGTATTTTTGGTTAGTCCTTCAGCCTTAGGAGGCAGGCTATGTCCCTGCTTCATTTTAGTGTTGTGTTTTTTAAAGATGATCTGCATTCATTAGGAATTTTCCTAATTTTTTTTCTTAGTGAGGAAAAAATAAAAGACTATGTCCCCAATCCTCCTAAGATCATGGTGCTAAACCACACTCTATACTAGTGTTGAAGGACATTCAAGGTCATCCTATCTGACACCCTGTCTTCAAGTTAGGAAGCCATTTTGACTATCAGAGTGAATGGAAAATTGTTTTTTACCACTTATAAACACATACAAAGAAAACTATTTCTGTACTTTCCTTTCTCCTCTGATGTATTGTTTAGAAATACAGCCTAGAATATCCTGTGAGTGAAAGTGTTTCTTTTTAAAATAGTCAGTGGGTGGTGAGTGAAGTGCAGTATTTCCCATGTTCAGACATTGCCTGTTAGTTTCACAGTCCAGGGAATTCATCCCTTCCCGCTGCTGCTCTCTCCTCCCCACAGCCCAGACTTACACAGACCCCTTGGTAGAGCTATTTGTCTTAGGAAGCTGTTGGCTTCAGCCATGCCTTGTCTTCTGGCGAGGTAAGTGAGGCTAAATGAGAATACCTCTGACAGCAGGCACTCCATTGTTTATGAAGAAATCTGGCGCCTACACATTTTTCTGTTAAGTCAGGAAACTGAGGCCCAGAAAAATGGAGTGACTTGCCCAAGAAAATTCTGTTAGTGAAAAAGCAGAAACTAGAACCCAGATCTTCCTGATTCACTGTTTTTTCCCCTCACTCTAAAAGTCAAAGCATTCCCCATGCTAAGATTATCTCAGCTGTTCAATCTTGCTGCACATCCTACAAAACCAATGGTCACATATTCGTGAAAAAGCACCCACCATGTGCCAAGCTCTGTGCTGGATTTTGTAAAGAGATGTGGACTATTTGTTGAGTGTGAATCCTTATTTGTGCAATTTTCGTGTTATGTGTGTCTCTCTAGACAGGCTGTTAGGCCCTGATGAGAGCATCATTTATGTCTGTCTGTTTCACTGCTGTACCCCTGGCACAGGGCACACACAGTTGATCTGGAAATACAGAAGTGATTAACAGAGGGGACATAGTCCCTGATCTCAGGGAACTCCAGCATTAAAAGGCAGCTTAAGCAGGTGTTGTATTTTTAAATATGCTAAAGTAGCCTAGAAATTTCTTTACCTACAAACAGAAAGCTTTAGTCAGCTGGAGAACCTGGCCTGTTAAGAACATCACCCCCAAGTACCTTCTCAAACCTTGGGAAATATGGGCAGCAGGTTGGGAGATGAGAGATTCTGTGCTCTGTGCACGAAACCTGGAAAACTGTTTAGAAAGTCACACTTTCATAATAAAATAGACTGCCTGTCTGTGACCATGCACTGCAATTTAGAATGTTCTTACTTTTCTAACACAGAAGAGTGATAACAAAACAGCCACATGTCCTTGATCTGCACTCCCCTGCATCAGCGACACCATTAATTGGTATCTTTAAATTCTCCCCTAGCTAGACCAGAAGACCAGGAAACTGGTCTCCATTGGTTTCCAAGCGGTCTGGTAAACAGACCCTGAAGAAGAGAAAGATAACAAAGTGGACTGATCTGGGTAAACTGAACCATATTCAACAGAAGGGCAAACTAGGATGGCTGTGGGAAGGGGACGGGGCAGAGGCACCTCTCAGGGGTCAGGGTCCTTTCACGGTGGGTTTCTAGGAAAGGCCCCAGTCTTTCTCTTCTAACCCAGAAGAATGAGAATAGCAGCACTACTGGGCTGGTTAGATGAGGAAAACGTAATCGTTACAAGGGCCATGGCAGGCCAGTTTGAGTGGCTGTGGGGCCGTGGGGCACCTCTCTAATCACCCTGCATGTACTGTGTGCTGTGGTGGGGAGCAAGGACATTGGACACACCTGGGTTCAAACCCCGCTCTGGCACTTACTATCTGTGTCATGTTGCGTGAATTACTGCACCTTAATTTCCCTCTCTGCAAAACAAAGATAATGCCCATCTCACTGAGGCACTGGGAAGATTAGGTAAAATACATTTACTTGGCACCTGTTAGACATTCAGTAAAGGTTTATTTCCCACCCTTACTAAAGGAGAAATGAAAGTTTAGATACCACGAATAACGGTGCCCAATTATTTAGCAGACTGTGAGGACCTTTGAAAGTTCTTGAGTAGAGTTCTGTCTTCTGGGTTCATCCTAACCAATTAATTGTCAGCAGGTTCTTTTCCATCTTAGACCTAAAGAGATGTAGCTTCAATTTACCTGTCTAAAAACGGAGTAGCCCTTACTCCTCTTTTCATTTGCTAGCCTTTAGAATCTAAGGCTTAGATATTTGTGCTTGCATGGGCTCATGGGTTAATTTTTTTTATTATTTAATGGGTTAAATCTATTACTTTCAGATATTCATTTTAATCCTCAAATTGTACCTACCACTTTTGGCCAATGGTAACATGTAAAGCTTTATATATGTGAAGACAGTTGTCTTTAATCTTCTCCGTTTAGATTGGAAGTCCTCAGTTTCTCTAGTTGGTCCTTATATTAATTAATGTATTTTCAGAGCCTTCTATATTCTAGTTGCCTTCCTCTGGATTGGCTCCAATATGCAATGAATCTATATAAAATGGGGCATCCAGAAAAGTATGTATTACTACAGATGTGATCTAACTAATGCAAATTCATCTCCTCGTGCTGGGGCTACTCTGCCTAATCTTCCTGAAATGGTCCCCCATGTCTAGGAAGGGTGTACACCATTGCTAATAAAACCTCCACACCTGTTTTTACGGACCACCCTTAGTTGGGCAGGTGACTTAGTAAACTGAGTGTTGGACTACTTTATATCTATTAGATTTTTCTTATTGGATTACATACCAATATTCTGGCATGTTTTGAATATAAACTATTTGTACAGTATACCAGCTACATCTCTGAGCATTACTGGATAAATGTACCTTGTGTGGCTTTATCGAAATTCTTGCTAAAGAGACAAGAAGACCAATTCCCAACTCTCTCCTCATTTCTCACCCACGTTGTAGCAGTGTGAACCCTCCATGTCAGACTCTTTTTTCTAGAAAGGGAAACTCCCCCATTGTTCTCTGTAGCAGGAAAGCTGGGGTTGCTTATTTAAATTATAGATTTTCCCTTGATGAAGAATCAATCTAATATTCTTAATTTTGCATTAAACGCTGACTGAGCCAACATAGGTACCTCAGTAAATGACATTAATAACTTTCCCCAAAGTTTCTTCTATTCAATCCTCAAATGGTCTGCATAATTAGGCTTTACCTGACACCTGTCCCATGCAAAAGTGTTATCTCCCTGAAGGCAAATGGGTGTGTTTACGTTGTTTCATACTGATTTGAGCTCCATTCTACTATGGAGCTCAGTAATATGCTCATGGTACTCTGGCCATCCCGCTGTAAAGAGTCTTTTGCCTGTAGGTTTATTATTAGTTGATGGGGCTTTGCAACCACACTTCAAAGAAATCGAAAATTATGGAATTCTAGCCAAGCAAGGCTGAGTAATGAGGTGGCAGTGAAGAAAGTTCTTGTTTAACATGATGGATGTCTGCTGAATAATTTCCAGCTAATGGTACAGAAGCAGCCATCTGCACTGTGATGGTCCCTGTGCATTGTATTTACATGCAGTCTAGGCATGCTGGAGATGCTCAGTCAGTGCTTATTGAATTGCTCGTTACAAATGCATCCTAATAGGGATACTCTCCATCCAAAAATTACATGAATTTCTAGACATGTCCTGGCTGGTTGAAAACAGGAAATTGAAGTGAAAATGAGTTGAAGATGCTATTCCTTGCAAAACTTGTAAGAGACAGCGCATTGCTGGAACATGATTATTATTTGAATGAGGAATTTTAATGGCAAGCTAATGTGATCTAAGGGGCAAGATGGGCTGATAATGTCAGTGAGCTGAAGGGGGACAGGAGAGTGGCTGGAGAACCTGGAGATCTCAAGATCTAACTCAGTAATAGTTTTACAATTCTGGCCTGTCAAATTAATGTAGTGGGTCATGACCAAAATTTTGTTTTACTGATTGGGAGGAAAGGCTCCGTTTAGAGATGAGG